CCGTATGATAATTTTGGAAAAGATTGAATCATACTCCTGTAGAACCGTAAAATGTTATGTTGCTAAGGTTTTAATGACTCTCGTTGGAATCACTTGGTTGCAAGAAGTTTTGTTGAAAACTTGAAGAATGGCTAATGTTCTGTTATGAAGTGTAGTATTTTGTAAGGAATTTTAGGAATCTTGTAGGAATTTTGTAAGGAAATCACATCTGATTGTAGGGTAGGGTGGTTTGTATTGAAAATATTAGAGATGAAATTATTTGTAACTAAGAAATTTTGTTGAAAATCNGGGGGGGGGGGGGGCGTTATAACGCCTATTTTGACAAATGTCTAAATTAGGAAGAAGGTTATGTCATTTCTTACTTGATCAAACTTACTAAATGTCTTATACGTAAGTGTTATATGTATGCCACCTTTCAGTCAAGATTGTGAGTCATTTACTTTGAATATAGGGCTGCCACATCATGCTATTTAATTCTTATCCAATATATCCCTAATTAATTAGGTAATATCTATTACCCAATAATTAACCAATTACCCACATAATTAAGAATTATCTCAACTTACATAAAATACTACTCACTTTTAACATACCTTGTACACCTTACTATCATGGTTAAGTAGTACCTTGTATGGCACTAGTCCATAAATACCGTGTATTATCGCTCGGACTGTATTTTATCCCAAATTGCCAAGTTTCGACGAAACTCATTTTTTCGATTTGTTTACCCTCTCACCTTCACGAATCTACTTATCCATTATTTTAAATAGCATAATACTTGTAACCTCAAAATAATCTCATTCCCGAGCTTGCGTCAATTAACTTTACGACGAAAGCTTAGCGTACGAAAATGCGGGATGTAACATCTCATTCCCGAGCTTTCATCAATTCACTTATGGCATATTTATGTACGAAAATACGGGGTATAACAACGTAAGAATCGAACTCCTGATCACGCAGAGCGCATGCTTAGATTCCATTAACCAGGAGCACCCATCAATCTGTATGAGTAATAGGTGCTACCTAAATATATATATCTATTTCAGGCAAAATTGTCGATAAAATTATATGTACGATACCATGGGTAATGGGTTCTTGAGCACCATAATTCTCTATGTGGATCCACCCACGTTAGTAGATAAAATTAAAGTACAAATACATGGTCAGTGATAAATATGTGAACATATATTTTTCATTCATTTATTTGATGTAAACATTAAATGCCGCAAATAAAGTTTTACTTGTTGAAATGCGTATCTTATACAGTTATACTTGTATATGGGTAAAATCGGGTTCATTGTACACCCCGGTCTCCGATAAGATAAGCCAAGCTTGAGACATGATGACAAGGGACCAAAATCAAGGCAAAGGTCTTATTGAGTTAGAATCCGGGGGCATGACGACCATCCTTGAGAATATCGGGGTCATGGTTCGAGATTCGTCCTAGCCTTGAACGACTTCGAAGAACATTGTCGGTAAATCAAGCATGGCTAACAGAAGGCCGTAATATCCGTGATCGTCTGAATATCGTGGTGGAGATCTCGGCACATATCGAAGAAGAACCGACAATCAGTTAATCAAAGAACCGATATTCCAAAGTAATACATTACTATTTTTTTACTTTTATCATAGCTCTTTTTCTTGTTTATCAATATTGGTTACTGTGAGCCCGGATCGAGGGTGAATGTTACAATAAGGATGGGATCACCCTCCTCGCGTGGTTCGAATTCACTATAGACTTGTTCATTCTAATTTAATTTATCGTTTTATATCAAATTAATTTGCGTATCCTTAAAAACACTTACAAATTTAATTGTTATCCAATTTTAAAGGTAAATAGTTTGGCGCCCACCATGGGGCTAAGGATAATAGCGGCAATTTGATACAAATTCCCATTACACGTCCTATTTTACACTTGTTCTTTGGAATATCTTTGATTTCAGGTTAAAGTTTGAAATGTCGAACTCCTAGTCTGGCCCTCTGAACGTGGATGCCGAATCCAGCCACCATGGAGAGAACAACAATGTAGCACCCGGTAATGAGGTGCCCCCAGCCAATCTCAACAGTGTTCCAGCCGCGGACCCGATCGACGTTAGCTCACATGTGGCATCAATGCAAATTTACCTACCAATCCTGAGAACAACGTCCGCAGGGAAATACGATCGATTGCCCAAAATACGCACAACGGTGAAGGTGATCTTCGAAATGTTACAAACTCAACATGCAGCAATAGCCCAGTTATAGAACCAAAGCTGTGCGTCGAGCAGAATTGAGCCCGAGCCATCCCGGAAAGTCACCCTTAGAAATGAACCAGTCACGGAGAGGCCGTATGAAAATAAATTGGGTACCAACCCCAAGATCATAAAGATTCTTGAGGAGCTAAAAAAACGGATAGAATCGGGAGGGAAGAAAATCAAAGCCAATGAAAAAAAGGTAGAAACCTACAACTACAGGGTCGACCAAATCCCAGGAGCACCAGTGATATTAAAAGGCTTGGATTCCAAGAAGTTTGTTCAAAAAACCTTTTCCTCCGAGCACAGCTCCAAAGCCGATACCTAAAACATTGCGCATGCTCGAGATTCCTAAGTACAACGGAGCAACCGACTCAAATGAGCATGTGACCTCCTACACATACGCCATGAAAAGGAACGACTTGGAGGATGATGAGATCGAGTCGTCTTGCTGAACAAGTTCGGGGAAATTCTATCAAAGGGAGCTATGATATGGTGTCACAACTTACCTCCTAATTCTATTAACTCGTTTGCTATACTTGCAGATTCCTTTGTAAAACCATATTCCGGGACTATCAAGGTCAAGACCAGGAAGTTAGACCTTTTCAAAGTGAAACATAGGGATAATGAGATGCTTAGAGAATCCGTCTCCCGATTTCAAATGGAAAGGATGGATCTGCCTCCAGTCGTGGACGATTGGGCCGTTCAGGCCTTCACCCAACGACTCAATGTTCGAAGCTCGTTGGCTTTAGAGCAATTGAAACAAAATCTGGTAGAATATCCGGTTGTTACTTGGGTGGGGTCGACATATATAACCAGTATCAATAAAAAATCAAGGTCAAAGATGATCAGTTTGGGGCCTCTTCCGGGTCCATTTATCCCGTTAGAGCGATCGACAAAGTCAAGAGAGACGTTGATCATGAACCAAGATCAAACAGGGATCGGTATCAGCCATAAAATAGAGACCAAAGAGGTAATGGGTCTAGGCGAAACCCTATGAGAAGTGAAAAGAGGAGCGACCGAGTTTAAAACAACCGGGTACTCATGAGCAATAATAGATTCGACAGGCCTATCAGGGCTAAGGAAGCGCCAAGGTTATCGGAGTACAACTTTAACATCGTTGACGCCTCCATTGTATCCACCATCGGGCGCATCAAAGACACCAAATGGCATCGACCTCTATAATTCGATCCAACCCAATGGGATCCTAAATTAATATGAAAATATCATGGCATTTACGGCCACAGAACAGAGGATTGCCGATAATTAAGAGAGGAAGTAGCCCGACTATTCAATAACAGACATCTCCGAGAGTTCCTGAGCGATCGAGCCAAGAATCAATTCAGGAATAGAGATTCTAATAAATAAATCAAGCAGGAGGAACATCAACATGTCATTAACATGATCATTGGTGGGGTCGACATTCCCCAGGGGCCGATGCTAAAGCGTACCAAAGTATCCATCATAAGGGAAAAACGGACTCAAGATTACGTGCCAGAGGGAACCTTGTCTTTTAACAATGAGGACGCTGAAGGCATCATACAGCCCCACAACGATGCACTAGTAATATCTTTACTCATAAATAAATCTCGAGTTAAGCGTGTGTTAATTGATCTAGGTAGCTCGGCCAACATCATCAAATCGAGGTTTGTGGAACAACTCAATCTACAAGATCAAATTGTGCCTGCAGTCCGAGCTCTAAACGGATTCAACATAGCATGTGAGACCACTAAAGGGGAGGTAACATTATTGGTGAATGTCGTCGGAACCATTCAGAAAACCAAATACTATGTGATCGAATGAGATATGAGGTACAATGCTCTATTCGAGAGGCCATGGATCCAAAACATAAAGGCATTGACTATGCACCAACTATTGAAATTCCCAATGCTAGGAGAGATTAAAACAATCTACGGAGAACAACCGACCGTAAAGGAAATGTTCGCAGTTGAAGAGGTGATCCTAATATCTGCACTTTCAACAACAAAAGGTCTGGGTTCGGTCACCAAGAAAGAAGCCAAATAGCAATTACCAACACTGTCCCCGACCCAACCCAACCAGAGAAGCAGGGGACAGGTAAAGATGATGACTACGGGGTTCCCAGTTCTTTTATATCCCCCGATGACTCTGACGCCACCAAATTGGCGATCGAAAAATTGGACTAGGTCATATTGATCGAGCATTTGCCCAATCGTAAGGTATACCTGGGCACGGGGCTTATGTTCCGAGCTTAGGAAAAAACTCATTAAATTACTTATAGCTAATGTAGATTGTTTTGTTTGGTCTCACCTTGATATGACAGGGATCCCCCGGAAATAATCACTCACAAGCTGAGCTTGGATTCGAATTTCCATCCAATCAAACAAAAAATGAGACCTCAATCCGAAGTCAAGCATGCATTCATCAAAGACGAGGTATCTAAACTCCTTAAAATAGGGTCCATTCAGGAGGTTAAGTACCCAGATTAGTTAGCGAACGTAGTGGTAGTCCTTAAAAAGGGGAATAAATTGACAATGTGTGTAGACTATAAAAATTTGAATAAGGCATGTCCCAATGACTCTTTCCCTTTGCCCACATTGATCGCATGATCGATGCAACGACCGACCATGAGATCCTCAGTTTTCTCAACACCTATTCCGGGTACAACCAAATTCGGATGGACCCGGGCGATCAGGAAAAAAACATCTTTCATCACTAATTATGACACCTACTGCTATAACATAATACCATTTGGATTAAAAAATGCCAGTACCATTTACCAATGCCTAGTAAATTGGATGTTTAAAAAACAGATAGGAAAATCAATGGAGATTTACATTGACGATATGTTGGTTAAGTCCCTACGTGGAGAGGAGCATTTAAAGAATTTGCAGGAAACCTTCAACATATTGAAGAAATAATATATGAAGCTGAACCCCGAAAAATATGCATTTGGAGTCGAATCTGAAAAATTTCTTAGATTCATGGTGTCCAACAGGGGGATGGAGATCAATCCTGGTAAAATAAAGGCCATAGAGGACATTACCGTAGTGTATAACATCAAGGTTGTGCAAAGATTAACCGAAGGCATAGCCGCTCTGGGTCGGTTAATCTCGAGGTCCTCTAACAAGAGCCATCAATTCTTCTCACTGTTGAAGAAGAAGAAGAAGAACTTCTCATGGAACCCAGAGTGCCAACAAGCCTTGGGGGAGTTCAAGCGGTACCTCTCGAGCCCGCCTTTGCTTTACACTCCGAAGGCAGACGAACAGTTGTACCTGTACTTATCAGTATTCGAGGTAGCAGTAAGTGCAGTCCTGGTCCGAGAAGAAGAAGGTATGCAATTTCCTATCTATTATATTAGCAGAACTCTAGGCAAGGGCAAAACCAGGTATCCTCACTTAGAAAAATTGGCGCTCGCTTTGCTAAGCGTCTCTAGGAAACTCAAACCGTATTTTCAATGCCATCCCATATATGTTGTGACTACCTACCCATTAAGAAACATAATACATAAACCCAAGCTCTCGGGACGATTGGCCAAATGGGCCATGGAAATTAGTGGGTACGATATCGAATATCGAACTTGAACCGTCATTAAATCTCAAATTTTGGCGAACTTTGTGGCTGACTTTATGTCGGACCTAATACTCGAGGTAGAAAAGGAGTTGTTATTGAACTCGGGGACTTCCTCGGGAATCTAGACCCTCTTTACGGATGGTGCTTCGAACGCAAATGTGTCCAGACTTGGCATCGTGTTGAAGCCACTGATAGGTAATGTAGTTAGACAATTTATTCAGACTGTAAAATTGTCTAACAGCAAGGCTGAGATAAGGCCATAATTGTAGGTCTCGAACTGGCTAAAAGCCTAGGGGCAGAGGTGATCGAAACTAAATATGATTCCCTTCTTGTGGTAAACCAAGTCAATGGGACGTTCGAAGTCAGGGAAGAGTGAATGCAAAGATACCTGGATAAACTGCAGGTAACCCTACATCGGTTCAAGGAGCGGACTTTGCAGCATGTACCTCGAGATCAGAACAGCGAAGCCGATGCTCTTGCTAATTTGGGATAGTCGGTCGATAACAATGAATCCAGCTCAGGAACAGCCGTACAACTCATGAAAACTGTAGTGAAAGAAGGCCACGCCAAGATAAACTCAACAAGCTTAACTTGGGACTGGAGAAATAAATATATAGGCTACCTAAAGACCGGAAAATTGCCCTCGGACCCTAAAGAATTGAGAGCTCTACGTACGAAGGCGGCCCGATTTAGCTTGTCCGAAGACGGTACCCTATTCAGGAGAACATTCGATGGACTACTCGCCATATGTCTAGGACCAGGATATATCGAGTATGTCTTGGGGGAAGTCCACGAAGGCACCTGCGAAAATCATAATGGGCGCTAAATATTAGGTTCGGATGGTAATCAGAGCCAGCTACTACTAGATCGACATGGAAAAGGACGCAAAGGAGTTCGTACTAAAATGTGACGAATATTAGAGGCATGCTCCGATGATTCATCAGCCCGGGGAGCTGCTACACTCGGTCTTGTCACCTTGGCCATTTATGGAACGGGGAACGGACATCGTTGGTCCCCTACTATGGGCACCTGGTAAGGCTCAATTTATATTATTTATGAATGACTATTTTTCTAAATGGGTAGAAGCCCAGGCATTTGAGAAAGTTAGGAAAAAGAAGTTATTGATTTCATTTGGGACCACATAATATGCCGGTTCAGAATGTAATCCGAGATTGTGTGCGATAACAGGAAGCAGTTCATCGAAAGTAAAGTGAGCAAGTATTTCGAGGACCATAAGATCAAAAGGATCCTATCGACACCCTATCACCCTAGTGGGAACAGGCAAGCGGAGTCCACGAAAAAAATCATACTCCAAAATCTCAAAAAGAGGTTGACCGACGCCAAAGGAAAATGGAAGGAAATCTTGCCCGAAGTCCTATGGGCATATCGTACGACCTCAAAATCCAGTACCGGGGTCACCCCGTTCTTATTGGTTTACTGCGCCGAAGCTCTAATACCGGTCGAAGTAGGAGAATCGAGTCTCAGGTTCCGAAATGTGACCGAAGAGTCAAACAATGAGGCTTTGAATACGAGCCTAGAACTGTTAGACAAAAGGCGCGAGGTCTCCCTCATCCGGATGGCCGCACAAATCAAAAGATCAAAAGGTATTACAATCGAAGAGCCAATCTTCAACACTTCAGTATCGAGGATTTGGTACTAAGGAATGTGACATTGAGCACCCGGAACTCGAATGAAGGAAAGCTGGGGCCGAATTGGGAAGGTCCATATCGAATTACCAAGATCACCGACAAAGGATCGTACAAACTCGAAGTAATAAACGGTGAGCGACTACTGAACAACTGGAACGTGACCCACATAAAATGATACTACTGTTGAGGTATGACTCCATTCATTTATTTTATTTACATATTGGACTAACACTTGCAAGTGAAGATCAAGGAATGTTAAGACTTTTAGGCCTGAAAGCATGCGTTGCACTCTTTTTTCCTTGAGTCGGCTTTGTCCCAAATGGATTTTCCAGCAAGGTTTTTAACGAGGCAATAGTGGATCGTGCTAACTTAGGATTGAAGATCAGTTATGAACCGGAGTCGAGGATCACATCAGCAGTATCCAAGCTCTCTCTACGATCAGCCTCGAATAATGGGGGCCATCACCCTCGGATAATGATTTTAGCAAGGAAAGAAACTTTGTGCTCGAACAAGTTTAGGCTCGGTGGATAGGAATTACTATAAGGGCTAAACGGTCAAATGAACCGTGCCCACATAGACCACCCAAGCCATAACACGAAGCTTGTACATGTTTGAAATCTTATATATTACACACAGACATGAAAGAAAGTTTCTACCTAGCAGATAAATATTTTGTCTCTAAAAATTATTATGTTTTGTTCCCTAAAAGACACCGAACCCAAGGGTCACCTTTATCCGGATCTAAAGGATCATCCTCGCTCGGGGACTACCGTCCAAGGCAAGTTCGGACAACCCGGGCTATCAAAGCCCGGGAGAACAAAACCTATTGGGCAATGCCCAAACTTTAAAGGCTACGACGTCCCCATTCGAGGACTGCTGTCCTAGGCAAGCCCGAATGATTTAGGGTAACAAGCCCCTCGGGCAACACCCAAACTTCAAAAGGTTACGGCCATCCCCATTCGAGGACTGTTGTCCTGGGAAAGCCCGGATGACTCGGGGTAACAAGCCCATTAGCCAACACCTAAACTTGAAAGGCTACGGCCGTCCTAGAACGGCTCGGAGACATCTGAGACCCGTAACCAAAACATAAGACCTTCAAAAAGTTCTAAATCGGTTCAAAGGCTACCTTCGGCAAAATCATAATCTAAAAATTCTAAGTAAATACTTCAGGAAATGCTTCCGGTCATACCAAGGCCCCACGTATCTTGAGCAAAATAATACCAAAAACGAGCATTGTTTGAACCTCCGAACAAGACCTAATTATTACGTGCTAAAGCATTCAAAATCTTTGCAATTGTAAAGAAAAAGCGACAAAGCTTGAAATTTGTCGAAGGAAAAAGGCCTAGTATATATATATTAAAAGATCTTTACAAAGGCCAAATGGCCTCAACAAAAAATCTGAAAGTTCAAAAACATCTACAAAGCACCCAAGCAGCTTGGTCTTCGCCGGAGCCCGCCTCATAACCAGGACCATCGGGGTCCTCTCTGCCCCCAGATCCACCGGAACCCTCCGAGTATTCTGTGTCATGGGGATATGCCAACTTCTTGGCCCCTCAGCCTCGAATCCCTTAGCATTTTTTATCTCGACTAATAAATCAAAACCCCGAGCATGAACCTCCTCTAGGGCCTTCCTTGGGGATTGCCATTTCATATATTCAACGATGTCTTTCAGGCGGTCCTGGCTGCCTCAACATCGGCTTTGTACTGGGCTACCATCCTATCGGCATCGGCCCTGGTTATTTCAGCCACTGACTTGGCTGCTTTAAGCTCTTTGGCAAAGGTATTCTGATCAGCAACAGCCGAGCCCAATTGAGACTGGAGGTCCTCGACTTTTTGGGACCGGGCCTGAGCTTTCTCCCTCATTGATCGAAGTTGGGCCTCAACAGAGGCTAGCTGCTCCCGGGCAGTCTCTTTTTCTGAGGCCAGACGGTCCATCTTGCCTTTCCACTCCTCGGCCTCGACCTTGATCACATCCATCTTGGCTCGTAGTTGGTCGATCCGGTCAATCTTCTGTTGGACCTACGGGTTCTGACCATTAGTCACCGTGTCTAGCCCATCATCACTAACTTCAAAGATTTTTACCTATTCTGGCATGTTCTTTCTGAGTCGTGCCCAACTCGGCTCGAAGGCTCTTGACCTCTCCTTCATGTTGCTCGCTGAGAAGTTTGCACATGTCTCTCTTCTCAGCAAGCTCTTTAGTTTCGGCCTCATGCTGGCTCAGCTCATCCTAATACTGGAGGAAGGTTTCATGGTAAAGCACCAAGGCATGCAAATATGAGAAGAAGTATTAGGATCATCAAGAACTAAAGCTGAAAAATAAAAAATTTATCAACACCTTACCCGGTTCAGCGCCTGTTGCGTTTCGTTGAATAGGCATGGCGCATCCACCTCATTCATTTTTGCCTGATCTTCGTTGGTTACCAGACACCAGAGGTAACTAGCTACCCCAACAGGGGCGGAATGAATCCGAGCATCCTCCGAGATGGTGATAACAATGGACCGCTTCCGACCAGAATATATGCTCAAAGCTAAAAAACCGGTTGACCAACCTCGGGCTCGAGCTCGGCCCGCCAATCTTAAAGGATGAACTCTTCTTCGGCACCTCTAATTCACCCAAACCAGTAAAGTACTTAGGGTCAGATGAGTCTACACCGTCAAAAAAGCTTCGAAGGGGATCACCAGCTCCATGGACCCCCTCGTTAGATTGCTCCTTCGTCGTTTGGGATTTATCAAACATTGATTCTGTGAACGAAGGCGATCGCATAATGTCTATAACACCGGGCGGGGCAGAACCGGCGTCTTGAGGGTTCTCGACCCTCATTGTTGCGTTGGCCTCACGAACTTGAGAGGGATTAGCCTCCGTCATTTACTCCTCAGTCGTCGCCTATTCCTCGGGCACAGACGGCTCATGGGCCAGAAAGAGATCATCCTCCTCGGGCTCGTCCTTGAGCCGGAGGAGCGAGTCCAATTTGAGAACTCGGGAGCTGGAGATTTCCTTTGGTTTACAGACCAGCCTCCTTTTCGTTTTCTTTTTCTCCAAGCTCGGGGAACTCTGAGCCCTTCTCTTTTTCTTTTCTCCGGCCTATCCCGAAGTAGGAGACTTAACAAGTAAGCCCTCATCTCCGACCGGAGGCCTAAGCTCGACGATCTTAGGCAAACCTACAAAAGGAAAAAAATAAAAAGTAAGAACTCGATGCTAGGGGAAGAAGTTCAATGTGACTCACTCTAGAAAGGAACTTTACCATAGGAACGAGCCTCTCAACGGCCTTTAAAAAGATTGCGCCACGAACACTCGAAATAGGGATCTGCGACACAATACCCTCAAGCCACTCCTTGAGTCAAGGAATTGCATTTGGAACTCGAGCAAGGCTTGCACCAGAATAAACACTGATAAGAAAAGGGAAGGTAAAGCATGAAATCAATGCTTAAAGAGAGTCATACTTACATGATACGTTCCACCTCTCAGGGAACAACCTCTACTCGGAGGGTACTAGGTCAGTGGTCCTCACCCAGACAAAGCGTCCTTGCCAGCCGTGTCTCGGTCCTCGTCGATGCTAAAAAATGGGGCTTTGCTGGCTCGGCGTACAAGCTTTATTAGTCCCCCTCAGAAGATTCGGGAACTGTACAAGCGGAGTAAATGATCGATGGTAAACGAGAACCCATTGACTTTGTTCACAAAGAATCGAAGGAGGATCACAATCCTCCACAATGATGGATGAATTTGGCCAAGGAATATGTTATACCTTCTGCAGAAGTCTAAGATGACCGGGTCCACCGGGCCCAATGTAAAGGGATAAGTGTAAACACTTAGATATCCCTCGACATGGGTAGTAATGGCTTCGTCGGAGTCGGGGACCACTACGTCTTTGTCGGCCCAGTTGTAGTCTTTTCGGACTGAGGGGAAGACCTCTTCGGTGATTGAGCAAATATATCTCGAGGCCTCCTCACCCCGACCTTGTACCGATAAAGGAATCTCAACCTTGAAGTTATCGGTGACCGAAAAACCCCTAGGAATGAACATTTTCAAGGGGGGATCTTCTGCCAGTTCATGAACAACCACTTCAGGAGCGGTCTCCTCAACATCAGTGGTCGGCCACGAAGAAGAAGGAACATCCTTTTTGAGGAACAGATTTTAAAGTTTTTGCCATGGTAATGAAGGAAAAGCTTGGAAAAAATGGATAAAGATTGAAAGTTGAAGGATCAGACTTATTGGCTTGAGTAGGAGATGAGTAAATTTTTTTGCAAAGTACTAAAGAACCTTGAGTGACAGAGGTAAAATTGATAGAAAATATTGAAATCCTAAGGTACGAGGGTAGAAGGCTTAACGTGAAGTAAAAAATGAATGAAAGAGGGGGTATTTATAGGAGTTTAGCGACATTTCACGTCCAGGGACAATCGACCGGCGGCTGACATGCATTTAATACCATTATGACATGACTGACGAGACATTTCAGGTGTTTTGTCGTTTTCGTACGATGTATCGAAGTAGGAATCAAGAGCTCATGTCATTTCTCGTCATTTACTCTCCGAGAAACGAGGAGACTATCTGTATAAGGGTAAAATCGGGTTCATGTTACACCCCGGTCTCCGATAAGATAAGCCAAGCGCGAGACATGATGACAAGGGACCGAAATCAAGGCAAAGGTATCATCGAGTCAGAATCCGGGGGCATGACGCCCACCTCGAGAATATCGGGTCCATGGTTCGGGACCGGTCCTAGCATTGAATGACTTCGAAGAACATTGTCGGGCAATCAAGCACGGCCAACAGAAGGCCGTAATATCCGTGACCGGCCGGATATCACGGCGGGGATCTCAGCACGTATCGATGAAGAACCGACAATCAGTTAATCATAAGATTTTTTTACCTTTTATAGAGTCGTACCTAGAGTAGGACTCCCCTACTATATAAAAGGAGTCTGATAATTCATGACACACATTGTAACACGCATTCCAAAGCAATACATTACTATTTTTTATTGTTATCAAAGCTCTTTTTCTTGTTTATCAATATTGGCTACTGTGAGCCCGAATCGAGGGTGAACATTACACTAAGGCTGGGATCATCCTCCTCGCGTGGTTTGAATTCACTATACATTTACTTGTTCATTCTAATTTAATTTATCGTTTTGTATCAAACTAATTTGTGTATCCTTAAAACCACTCACAAATTTAATTATTATCCAATTTTAAGGGTAAACAATACTAGTTTGATTATGTTTTCACCTTTTTTCCCCACTTAGAGGTACTACTACCAGGAGTATATTTTTTATTTTATTTCTGTGAACTGCTCATTTGATTTTCTTTGAGTATACTTCTAATTAAGTACATGAAAAATATCGGAAAGCTGAAGCCGAGATTCACGAACCTGAAAGGAACCTCATTTCTTTTTATCTTTGTTGGAAAAGTTGGCTGCGTCTCGCCGCATTTGCAAATGGAGATGGCCCACGGAACCTTCTTCTCTGTTCTTGGTTACGTTTCCACTTCGTGCGGTTCCTTGCCTGTTAAAGAAAATGAAAAAAAAAACAAAAACAAATAAGTCTGAAGCACAAAATGGCATGAAACGTATCTAATCTCCGAGGGTCGGTTGGTTGGAATACGGATTATGTCGGTATAAGTTATGCCGGTATAAGTTATGTTGGAATAAATTATCCTGGGATTAGTTATGCTGGAATTGTTGTTTATTCACTATTTAGTATGTTGTATTAAGAATGACAATTACATAATTTCTAAGAAGAATGTACAAGTTATACTGGTGCTAATTACCCTACCCTTTATAAGGTATAAGCTATCCCGGTATTAAAATTAACACCGGGATAACTTATGTCTGATTTGCTAACCAAACAGAGTATTAAGGTGATATTAAATTTTTATACCATCCCTATACCTTCTTATACCTCGTACCAAACACCCCTAAATTAGTTAATTACAATACTTCTTTATGGTTTTTGTGTCATTTCTCAAGCGCCATGGTAATGCGTAATAGTAGAGTAGGGGAAGTGGGGTTTGGGGGTAGGGCAGGAACTAAATAGTTACATTAATCTCTTGTTTTACTTTGACATAAGGAGTAAAGAACTTAATTTTAATTGTGAATTCGAATATAGATTTTTCCAAGTTTAGAAAATAAGATTTGGCGTATGAAAACTATATAAAAAGTATTATAAATGAAATAGTTAATTATTTAAATGTTAAAAAATTATTTAAGAAAAATATGGTCAAAGAATAATTTTGAGATTTTTACATTTGTATACACTATATTAAACTATATTATTCTTCCTACTCAAGTTTTACTATAATTACATATTATATACCCAATTATCATTTATGTACATTTTAAGTGAATTAATGTTAATAATTAATGTACTAAAATCACTCTAATGTATCTTCCACTCCCCCATGTTTCTCTCTCCACATTCCACCCCCTCCCCCTCCCTCCCCCACGTATCTTGCACTAGTGGTTATGTGTTCACCCTCGGTGGGGGTGTTGTGGCATGAAAATCAGCTAAACAAACAATAATAGCTAGATTTACCATGGAATCTGAGTTTGTGGAATTGGAATTAGCTGGCAATGAGGCCGAGTGGTTAAAGAACCTTTTGGCGAGTATTCCACTAGGAATAAAATCGCATCTTCTGTGTCGATGCATTGTGATTGCCAAGCTGCAATAGCCATTGCTAAAAATAAATTCTTTAATGGGAAGAGTAGACATATCCGATTGAGATATAATGTGATAAAGCAGCTGCTGAAAGATGGAATTATTTCATAGATTATGTGAAGTCAGAAGTGAATTTGGCCGATCCCCTGACTAAACCTTTGGGAAGAAAATTAATATCTGAAACATCGAGGGGAATGAGACTTTTTTCAATTTGAGTTATATCAACTATGATGGTAACCCAACCTATGTGATTGGAGATCCCATGAAGTAGGTTCATATGGGTGGTAATAACAAGTCATTAGTTGATCAAATGTGCACTATTAAATTATATCCCTTCCTATGATATGTGTATATATAGTGCAAGACTGCAAGGAATGGGAGGCTGAGTTATTAAACTCTTAATCTAATCCATAGCCTAATTTTAGGTGGTGTATTGTGCTGCAGAATACACTTGATGGATAGACCTATATGAGTGTGGAGTGGGGCCGCTCCTATGAAATTTATGGTAAAAATTTTCTAGAGCACTCATAAAAACCAGGCGCGTGCATGGCCTATTAGCGCAAAACCGCGACAAACAACAAAGTGTGTTGGAGTATAATGTGATAGATAAGACACTAAACTTGCAAAAGAATTTTTGGTTCATAGAAGTTCTAAACTTCACCAATTATTCTGTAAGTTTAATCTTGTTTTATCTAGGTCTGGTTCATAGTCCAAGAGACACCAGATGCGACGTGTTATGCTCATTTGTGAAAACCCAGGATTTTTTTTTATTCCATTATGATATTCTTTTTGAGATATGTGGGAGATTGATAGAAAAAATAATATTTTAATATCTCAAAAAGGTCACGGCGAGACGAGCCGTTTATCATTACGATAGGTGTCTTTCATATTAATGTCTATGTTCATTCCTTAATATAATATTAATTGCTCTTTATTATACAAATTACTCTTATTATTTGTAACAGATTGTACAATACAATCTTGAAATATAAAACTCATTTTGAATACTTATATGTATATATGAGATTTGAATGTTTGACATTTTGTAGCCTTAAATGGTTTTACGTTTTGTTATTAAAGCCTTAATGACTTTTTGGACGTTATTCAGTGAATTGTAAACTGACTAATTAGTCTTCGTATTGATGTTTCAAAACATTTAAATTCTCAAATGAAAACGTCTGTTTCTATGTAATAGTCATTTTGCTTTGAAAAGCCATTATGGCTTTGCACGTTTCCAGTCAGAGAGTCCATTTGGTTTGAACTATATATATTTCTATTTTCTATCTTTTAAAGGGGTGCAAAAAAGTTAAAAACTTTTCTTCTCTTTTCTTTAGTGCTGGGTTTTCTTCTTATAAATCTTTGTTGTTTCTGTTCCTAGTTATACTAGAAGAGCTTGTTGAATCCTGGGGGATACGCCTAATATTATTTATCACGGTGTGAGCGAAATATCCTTAAGGACAGTATCTTTGACACGCCTCAAGCTAAACCTTTTATTCTCCATAATCATCCTATTTTTTCTAACAACAATTACAATAAAAAGTATAGGGGTTGGAAGAGTGGAAATAACAGCGGAATTTAGGTTAATTTGAAATGGGATCAAGAACCTATGTTACAGACTTACAGTTAAATTAGGTTGATTTGAAACAGGAAAATATACTCCATATACAATCACTGCTATGTTGACCATCAACCAAATATACTAAGAAGCCACCTGCAACTTACCATATTACACATTCTTGAAGCAAACCACTAAAGGATTCTCTTTATATAGCCAATATGATATTGTTTTTACATATTGTCAGCAAATACATCTTCTCTTATACTTGAGCACAAATATTGGATTCAAGCAAATAAGTTGAATAGAACAAAGATATTCAAAGTGAAATTGTTACACTGCTGCAATATATTGAGGAAATACAAGCAAGTTCTTGTTTCCTATGATTTCTGCTCATATATTGAATATTCAATTTTAAGTGAATTAGACCTGTTACTTATTCATAATTCAGACAAAATGTTTATCCTGAGTAATGCTATTGTTAAACAATTTCCATTTGTCACAGTTTCAACAAAGGCATTTGTATCAAAATCAATTGTTGAAGTACTAGTAGTTGATTGTTGAAGTACCTCTTCATATGTCAATGCATTAGATAAACTTGTAGTGAAAACTAAAGAAAGTATCACTAGACCCCCTTGAACTTTTCTAGATAGACCAAGAAAAAATAAAGAGAAGACTTACCTGTGAAGGAGTCGGAAATAAGTGAGCAAACTTTTCGGGGATATTTCCTATTTTCATTTGAAATAAGCTTGTTAGCGCATTTAATTGTGATCTCATATTTGCCATCTCTTGCACCTATTGTGGAGGTAGAGCACTAGTACTAGCTGGGCCCATATAAGAACCACCACCTCGTCTTGACCCATGAAACACCAGTTTCTACTATGCTTCAACCGGCAAGAGTCTGTATCAAAGTTACATGTGGGACAAGCAAACTGAGTGTATGTGTTCCATCCAGATAAGCTGCCAAGCCCAGGAAAATCACTAATTGTCCACATCAAGGCTGCTCACATTTTAAAAAATTTATTCTTTGAAGAGTCTAATGTCTGCACTCCATCGTACCACAATTCTCTCAACTCTTGGATAAGAGGTTGTAAGTACACGTCAATGTCATTGCCGGGCATTTGTTTTCCTAGAATGATCATTGAAAGAATGAATGAAGTTTGTTTCATGCACTTCCAAGGAGGACGATTGTATGGAATAAGAACCACATGCCAAATACTATAGTTTATTGCCATTTCTCCAAAAGGATTGAAACCGTCACTAGCTAGGCCTAGTCGTACATTCCGAGGATCTACAGCAAATTCAGGATGAAGCAAGTCAAATGCTTTCCATGCTTGATAATCCCTTGGATGTCTCATCAATCCATCTTGATAACCCACGGAAGAATGCCATCTCATAGACTCAGCAGTTTTAGAGCACATGAACAATCTCTGTAGCCTTGGCTTTAGTGGAAAGTAGCGCAAAATCTTTGCGGGCTGCTTTTTTTATTGTCCTTCCACCTAGTTGTCTTGCACTTTTGCATTCTTGTAAGCCTTCATCTTCCCCAAAATATAACATACAATCATTTGGGCAAGCATGGATCTTGGTATAATTAAGACCAAGTTTGTTGGTGGTTTTTTTGGCCTCATAAAAAGAAACAGGAATCTTGGCATCTTCAAAGACATCTTTTAACAATTCTAATATCATACTCATCGCTTTGCCAGTCATTCGACACAAACACTTGATATGATACAATTTGACTAGAAAGGACAATTTGAAATACTTCTCGCACCCTTCATATAATGGTTGATTGTCATCTTCTACCAGCTCATAGAACTGTGCATATTCTTCATTATGCCTTCATTAATTGTTTCTTCACTATTCATAGGCTCACAAGACACACCAGGCTCATTGACATTGTTCCCTATGAACCTAAATGCATCGTTAATCATGGTTACCATTGGATCTTAGGGCTGCAGAGTTTCTTCTATGACATGTGTGCTCTGAAACATTTGTGGCATAGTTGGATTTGATTCTTCACCATGCAAATACCAAACTTTATAATTTTTTGGAAAAGGCTTACAAGTCAGGTGTTCTTCAACTACATTTCTTCTTTGCCACTTGTTAAAACCACATTTCAGACACGGACACTTAATTACACGCCCATCAATAGACCCATACTCAAAAGCAAAATCCAGAAATTTTCTAAGCCCATCCGCGTATTCAAATGTATTTCGTGGTTTGCTAATCCAAGATTTATCAATTGGCATGGCTAGAAAAGAAGATATAAGATAACATCACAATATAAAAATGAAAAAGCTAGTTCATAGCCACTTTATGGAAATCAAAAGAATAGTAATCACTAAATCTAACTTTTTAACTTCTGAAGAATAAACGGAAACTAAAGCGAGAAATAAACAAATAAAAGAACATGTGAAACTTATTCAGGGAAAAACAAAAACTACAACATGCATGAATTATCCATATTGTCAAATTAATTTTGTTTATATCATCAGCATACATTATTTGATACGTTTTCAGTGAAGTAACTTGTCTTTAGTTCACAAATGAGCAATGCTAATCTTTTTTGTCATCAAACTGTACAGCTAATATCAAATTGACCAAGCAAAAGCAAAAAAAAAAAGGAAAGAGGGATTTTGTGGACATTTTTCTCAACTCATGGCAAATACATGCCAAAAAGCAGGGAAATTGCACATGGAATCTGACTGATGTTCCCAAAACTTAGCAGAGAAGAAAGAAAAAGTCCTAATACATAGTTTCTAATGCTAAATTGGCTTACACACAAAGAGCAAATGTAATAGGAAGACATATATTTGTTCAAAATTAAAAATAAGAATTAATACACACATAGTTGGTTATTTCTAAAGACTGGATCTATAGGAATTATAGTTAGGATGAAAAGTATAAGCAGTAATAACTTTTAGGTATGTATGTTAAAATTTAAAGAATTTATTAACTTATTTACAATTGTTAGGAAAGGAGGCAGATTATTCGGTATTTGAAATGAAATGGATCCGGAAGCCGAATCGCATAGCTGATCTGGAAGCAGAATCGCGTAGAAGATTCACATAGCTGATCCTGACTGACTTGAGATAGATGCAATCTTTATGAGTAACCGAAGCAGTAGGAGTGAAGTAGAAAACTCAACGAGACTTTGAAAACATAACTACAAACAAAGTTACATACTGTAAGGTGATATTATACTGGAGGTATTACAGGCCATTCATTTGTACACGATATACATAAAATCAGCCTAATCGTTTTACCAGAAGAACATATTTCTTGCACAAGCTTTAGGTAGCAACTAACCTTTCAGACAAAGCACCACATCAAAAGGATACAGAATTGCTCTAACTGTTTTAGATTCCTTGGCTACCTATCAAGGCCATAAATGATATTTAGGTTAATATTAGCAGAACAAAAACTAAAAATATCAAAATTTAAACAAACACAAACTTAATTGAATAGAAAAGGAACAAAACTTGACACAAAAATAAACGAAAAATAAAATAAAACTATTAGCTGAAATTGACAGCTAAACAGTGAAATCGACGGCCGAATCAATAAAATTGATCGCCAAACGGTGAAATTGATGGCTTAAGCAGTGAATCGACAGCTAAAATCAGTGATTTAAACTGTACTTCGTCCAATACACATACATGCACGCCGAAAATCAATGAAATCAATGGCTAAAACAGCAAAATCGAAATCTAAATCAGTGAAATTCAAACACATTACCTAAATCTGATCTCCTTACATAAAAGCTAAAGGATTTGGGAGAATCGTTACATTACAGTGATTTGGGGGAATCGCTTGTTTAGAGAGAATGAGAGAGAAGGTGTAGAGAGAGAGAGAGAAGGTATACAATGATTTGGGGAAACGCTGTTTTGGGGCTTTAGTTTACTCTGTTTAGGGCTTCAGGTGTTTGAAATTTTGAATGGATATATTATATCATTACATTACGGAATAATAACATTAAATGAATTATTAAAAATTTTGTCTAACTAGCGGCGGTTTAGAACCGCCGTAATTATTTAAAAAATGCCGGTTTTACATCACGCACTAATGGTGTCTGGAACGCTGCCATATTATGATATATATTGCGGCGGTTTTGTTGAACCATCATTATTTAACCGCCGCAATAATTCCGATTTTTTGTAGTGAGCTCTTTCATGCCTCTTGTTATAACTTCTGGTGTCTTTAATTTCTAACGTATGAAGACTTCTATTTATAGTTGTGGAAGGGAAGAGTTATGATAAGAACAAACTCTTTCCGACCAATCAGATTGAAGAGTGACAAGGCTGCCTTTGATTGGCCACAACATGTCATTTGCACACGTGGTGCGATTTAATTGGCCTTTTAATGTGACTTGGCATGCTTTGTCATTTTGACACGTGACACCAAACTGGGCCTCTAGGAAGATGACATCTTGCGCTTAATGAAGTGAGCTCATCACTTTAGCCCAACTAAATGGGCTAACCCAATGAGTTAAGACTTATTTATTTAATCCATATATATTGGACTTATATAATTAATTCAATTATATTAGCCCGTAGTATTTATTTGGACTAATATATCTTGAATTTAAAATATAATCCAAATTATTTTATGAATTTAATTTTAATAAAATTTATATGCCTACACCCCTGCCTTGTAATCTCCTCCCCATTCCTCCTATAAAAAAATTACACGACTCCTTTAGCGCCACATTCTTTGTGCCTTTCGCCATCTTCCTTCCTAATTAATTCAAACTGACAAGAATTCTACTTATTTTTCTAAACCATAAGTCAATATTAAAAATGATGAGACGCTATGGGACATAGTTGTGATCTGGAAGTTTTAAAACAAAAACAGTTGATGTTTATTTTTTTATTTTTGCTAGTTAGTAAGATCTACAAGAATATATAAACCAATATTTAGCGAACAACAATTTGAAATAAAAAAGTGAAAAGAAAACTCAAAAGCTTGTGTTATTCCCTGTTAACGATATAACGGGAAAAAAAGAAGAAAAAAAAAACACATAAACATACAGGCTTAACAAATGAAAAATGTGATAATGGGCTTAGCCGAACTAAATAGAAGTTTCACGGGCCTGTCCTATAGTAGATTGACAGCCCATTACGTATCCGCTTGAGCGGCATTTGCATCTATACCCGTTTTTTGGGTCACATTTTAACTTGTGCCCGCTTTGTAAAAAAATTGCAAGCGTACCTATTTTTTCGCGTAACTTCAGCACACGAGGCTGAAGTAGAAAAAGCAATCACGCAAAACTTCAGCATTTGTTTTTGTAACTGACGAAGTTTTTGTTTTTGTAACTGGTTAGAGCTAAAGTTTTGCTTTGTAACTGGCGAACTTCAGTTCTAGAGCTAAAATTTTTATTTTGTAACTAGCGAACTTCAACTCTATAGCTGAAGTTTTTCTGATTTGTTCTTGTATCATATGTTGGAAAAGGCTTCACTTTTTCCACTTCATCATCCATTACCCTCTGTTTAATAAGAAAGGGAGGGAAGAAAACATGTTAGATAGGAAAAAAGAATGTACCGTAAAAACTGAATACAATAGTTTATTGACAAACATAGAATTTGAAAAGGAACATGGAATAATGGCCAGGAAACCGGCCATATATGACTCAATACCACAAGAGGATGCGTACAGAGAACAAGTACCAAAATGTGAAAAAGGATAATACCAACAGAAAAATGAATGTTACAGGAAGCAGAACTCTGGAACAAGTTGAGATGAAAGAAAGGACAATTACGTAGAAGTAATGATTAAACAATTAAGCAGCAACGGGAGAAATCTGTTTTAGTTTGTATAACAATGATCTCTGAATTACCCCAAAAAAAAGGAGAAGAAGAAAATGAAGGAGAAAAAGGAGGATGAGAAAAGGGGCTGAAGTTGTTTAAAAAGTGGGTACAAATTAAAAAAAAATTTTAAAAAATGGGTATAGGTTAAATGGGGGCGACCAAATAGGGCGCCCCGTGCAATTTTATGACACCAGATTAGATTCTGAATCTATGAATAGGAAAAATGACATTATATAGCCGCTGTAAAAATAATAGTAGAAAAATATAAAAAATTTATATATTTTTTGTATATATATACATTCTAGATATACAACAGTTATACAAATTTTATACCTGTCATGACCTAATCCCCGAACCCGGTCGTGATGGCGCCTCTCGTGAAGACAAGGTCAGCCAGACCGAAACGGAACACCTTTTTTAAACAGTTAATCATCATAAACAGTAATAACATATAATATAATGCTCATAAATTTCGGAATTTAACGATAATAACAGCAGGAACTATCCCGACACAGCCCAACTCGGGGTGTCACAAGTCATGAGCTACTACAGAATCTGCTATAGGTCTACAAAGTACGGAATCAGATACAATAGTCTGAAGAAAATATAAATGATAGAGGATAAGAGAGACAAGGGGCTGCGGACGTCAACAGCTACCTCGTAACTCCAAATCACTGCCTAGCTTGGAAGGAATCAGCGCTCAGGTGCGGACTCTGCTATACCTAAATCTGGACACACGGTGCAGGGAGTAATGTGAGTACTCCGACTCAGTGAGTAATAACAATAAATAATGGTTGACAGTATGAAATCACGTAAAGACACTAAGCAGTTCTATATCAAAACAGTAAAATCATTTAAACATCAGTGAATGAGGAAATCATGTGAAATTCTTTTAACCAGGTAAAACAGATATAATTAGTATAAATCAGCTCCTCAAGCATTTTAGTTCATTTATTCGTTCTTATCCTCAGTTCTCAATTCATATACTTCTCACGATAACTGAGTCAATAAATATATATACCGCTGCGGCGTGCAGCCCGATCCGTATATCGCTGTGGTGTACAGCCCGATCCATAATAATAATAGTCGATTGCGCTCACTGGGGGTGTGCAGACTCCGGAG